GGACACTACTTCTTCCCTCCCGAAAATCGTTGTTCTGGATTTGTAGATGCGGGCTTTGTCATTATCGATACCCACTTCCCACCCTACTCGATACTGCTCTCATTTAACGAATTGATCGTCATTCCGTGGACGGCGGTAGCGCCTCATTGGCCTCGAACCTTGTGCACTGAGTGCCTGTGTTTCGATCGCTACGAATCGAAAGGCTTTCACTACCAGATATGGAGTGAAGACGAGCACAAGGAGAGAGCCACACGGCTGAGACCATCCACGTCACACTCGGAACTAACCAGCGAACGACGACGAGACTTGATACGAAAACGGGACACGCGAAGCGTGCCAAAGCCTTTCCGTTCTAAACGACGGGCCGTAGCCCGGTGGGAAGCGCGACAATATTTTTTGGATTGAATTTGGATTCTTCCCTCCTCCCGCCTTGTCGGCGCGCGAAAAACGATCGACTTGTTTCATCGGACCTACACGGGGGATTTCAGTTTCGTCTGTGTCCCCACACTCAATTTTTAAAAATCCTAGGCACACCCCATCTTGCTGTTTTTCTGGGCCTCTTTCCGCATGCCTAACAGTCCGAACGGAAGACAACACAGGGCGTGAGGTTGGTATCGGAGCCGACACGTGTCGGTTCTGATGATAGTAAGTCGAACTGGCGAGAGGTAAGAGAGACCCTCAACTAGCTCGTCGAGATCGCCCCGTAACCAGGTCTCTGTCTAGTACGGCTGCGCCAGCAATACCAATGGTGGACGGTACTAGGGTGATCGTTAGCATCCCTGCCCCCTTCCCCTTCTTCCCTAACCATACCCATCCCGAGGCTTAGCTGGAAGCTGTCGAAGCTCAGAACTACAGCGCGGCCAATCTCTCTCGTGTTCTGACACTACTACTTCGCAACACCTCACATGACTGGTTTAGAAAACATACGTGGGTAGATTGGGATACTTTCAAGCGAGCATTCTTGACTCGATTCGATACGGTTAGTGAAGATGCTGCCTGGTACGTACTCAAAAATTGACCCCAAGGACCAGGGGAACTGTTACCTGATTTCGTTGATCGGTTTCAAACCACATTGGACAAATCCGAGCGAGACGAGAAATCCGCTCGGGACCTATTCGTCGATCACCTCCGAAGTCCGACACTGAAAGGGAAGTTACAGAAAAAGGTTCCGCCAAAAACCCACCCGTTAGCGACTATCATAACTAAAGCTTCGGAACTAGACCTGCCTGATACGAAAAAGTACATCAGCCAAGGAGACGAAGACATTACGGATACCATACGGGATGTAATGGCTAAAAGACGATCATGGTTGCACGCGGTCGAATGGTTTTATCCCCGCCCCGATCATAACCTTCCTGGGGGAACCGTTTCCGATATCCCGACTACTTCTCCTCCCTCTCCCCCGGTGAATCAATCGATCACATCTGTTAAAAGCAGAACTTCATCTGAACCGCCCTCGCCGACAGTAACCAATTTGCATCTTGCTCAGATGATTCATACGGCCAGTACCAAGCAGTCCGAATGGATGAGTAACTTGATCCAAATGCAGGCGGCTCACATGGAACGGATGGAAGAGATAATGAGCCTGCTCATTAAGCCTAACCCGGCTCCTGCCCGACCTACCCCTGCATCGTTTCTGCTCTTACATGCTCCGCCTGCTCCAGGATTCGCCCCTCAGTATCCCCATCTAGCTAATCCCGTAGGAAAGATCGAGTGTTTCAACTGCAAACAGCCCGGGCATTTTGCCCGAGACTGTCCGCAGCCGAAATGTCATCAACCTCCCCCTGCTGCGGCCCCTATCACCCTTAATCAAGGACGAGTGGCCGCTTTGATGGACACGGACCAAGGAGGAGAGCTCGTAGTGTATGCTCCAGAACAGCCTTCCTCTTCGGCGATAATAGCGTTGACCTCAGGAGCTTCTTCCTCTGACGCTGCTGACGTGGTCAATCCCCTCGAGTATCTTCAGCTTGCCGGAATGATCGGAGCGATCCGATCGGCCCAAGATGATCTTGAATCGGTCGATCGCGAGTCCAATCCTGGACCGCAGTTTCGGACAGGAGATATTGATGTATTGAAAATGCTCAAGTAATTAGATATTCGTGTACCTATCCCCGTTGGACATCTGCTTACCATATCTGAAGCAGCGAACGATAAACTTCTACAACAATGGGAGAAAAATCAAAACCGCTTTACCTATCAACGCATATAACGGATGTTGAAGAAGAAGGAAGGAAACGAGGAGGTTGCACCTCCCAAGCCTGACACGAAAGAATCCGAAGCCGCACAAATAGCAGCGATCTCTTTAGCAGAAAAAAATCACGTCGTACGAGCTCGGCCGGTATTGTGAAAAAGTGAGGAATGTGACTATGAAGTTTGGGGCAAGCCGTTTAATGCCGTTATTGACATAGGGTCTTCTACCGTGGCCATATCACCGGATACTGTTAAAAAGACGGGACGACTGGGATCCGTTCTTCCTCAATCTGGCAAAGACAATTATGTCTCTGCCGACGAAGAGGCAATGAACATCGTAGGCATTATCGAGAACGTGGCTGTAAAAGTCGGGTGAGTACACGTCCTTGTTAACGCGCTTGTAATAGATGCACGTTCCTATTCTGTGTTATTGGGATTACCTTCGGCGATGGTAGTAGGCGCACGTGTGCATTTCGATTCGAGACAACTAGTACTCACACAAACGAGGGGAAAACCTCAAATTGTTCCTTTGCAAGTTTTCACCCGAACGATGAAGCGGATCCCTAGCCCGACCCAAGTAGGGATGATTCGATGCGTCGATCCCGAGGAATGCTCTCCCTCACGCCTCGGAGATGAAATCAGGGAGCAAGGATACGAAGAAAAGATGCCCAGCGAAGAAGAATGGAGGCACCTGGTCGAACTTTTCGAACGAGAACTTCCCGAGGAATTTCAAGTGTACCCCGACACCACCCGAAGCTTCCACGTGGACGTCGGAGACAGCGCGTGCACGCTTCTGACGACCCGGGTCAGTCCTTCAATCCTCCTTGGGGAACTTATATTGCAAGTTCTCGATCTGGCTGATGATTTGGAAACCCCTCGTACCTCGTACGAGGGAACTCTCTCCTTACGAACACGTTATCAGCAAACGGAACAGTATTTAGACGTTTTTGTTTTTCCACCCCGATTGTTACTAACGACAGGAGTCACCATCGCCTTGATTAAACAAGAGGCGGAAGCACCGGTAAATGATGTACCCAATCTGATGCAAGAAATGACGGATCTAACAGGGCTAACTGTGGAACAAACCTCGGTTGGTTTAGAAACTGACGCTGAAACTAAAGAAACAGAGATGATCAGCCCTGAAGAGTCCCAGATGATAGCAATTGTCTTCTCTGTTTGCACCACTAGTTCCATTTTTTCTAGTGTCCATGATCGACGGGAACGGCCGGTTGATTGGATTGATATGCCCCTTAAGATTTCCGGGGAATCTACAATCACCTTGCCAGGTCACGTCCCTGCAGAACTTCGGAAATCGTTAATTCGTGTGTTAAATGGCTACGAAGAAGTATTGAGCATACACAATAACGACATTGGCTTAACTAATGTGATTGAGCATGCCATTCTCACTGGAGATCATTTACCCATTAGTTCTGCTCCCTACCAATACTCGCCAGCTCAAAGAGCTGCCACTTTTCAGCGGATTAAGGAGTTCGAAGCTAATGGATGAATCCAACCTGCTATAGGTCCGTGGTCTTTTCCCGTAGTAATCGTACCCAAAAAGGCCAGAGGGATTCGTATTTGTATTGATTATCAAAAATTGAATGATATCATGATTGAAGATGTGTACCCCCTCCCCCGGATTGATGAATTGTTGGATGCGATTGGGAGTGCTCGATTTTTTAGCAAGTTTGATGTTCGCCATGGATTTCATCATCTTCTTGTCCGAGAAGAAGATCGTCCGAAAACCGCGTTTGTGCTTTTCGAAGGTACGTGGCAATGGATTCGATGCCCGATGGGTATCTGCAACGCCCCTGCGATTTTTCAGCGGGCCATGAACATGGCTTTTCATAATTTTGTGCGGAAGACTCGCCTGGCGCAGAGCATCATCAACTACTGCGTGATGGTGTACATGGATGACATCTTGGTGTATTCGAGCTCCTACGAGGGACACGTGCAGCACATCGAATGGGCACTGCATGCGTTACGAGACGCAGGTTTCAAGGTGGCGCTTGAGAAGTGTCAGTTTTTCCTCACGTGGTGATAGACAAAGGACTCCAACCTGAGCCGCAAAAGGTGTGGGCTTAGCCCCGCGCCTGTCAAAATTGCCGATGAAGGGTTAAAGAACGTCCGTTGTGGTGTGCAAAGGATACAATTCTTCAGCAGTTTTGAAGTCCTTGCACTTCACACCATCGCAGAAGGTCTTCGCGACGTAGCCAAATTTCTTGACGACCTTGAACTTCCTCTCCATTTCGTCGAGGGAGATCTGTTTGAAGGTGACCACCGTCAGAACAGGGACGATTGCTTCCGGAGGGATGTTGCCCATCGTAATGCATGGCTGCGTGGGCATGTCGCATGGCACCATCGGGATTTTGTTGTCCTTTAACTTCAGGCGGGGATTGAAAAATGCCATCTCCTGTTCCCTTGCCGCTGCCTTGTCCAGCCTTTTCCCTTCCTGGTCTGCTTCCCGCCTTCAGATTCGCTGGATTCTGGAGTGACTTTGTTGGACGACATAGAACGAGTCAAGGAGTGGAGGAAGATGGAGGACAAGAGAATAAAGGAGGCAGAAAGAGCAACTCGCAATTTCTTTCGAGCTGCGGCTTTGGACGAGCCTTTCGCTGATTGGACGGAGGTCAAACATGATGGGTCCACAGACCTGGTCAAGGTGATTCAGGGTGACATGTTGCATTTGTCACAGCTGTTGAAGAAAAAATTGCCGATTTCTCTCGCTATCTTTGACTTTCCCTACGGTTCTTCCTATAAAGGTCATGCACGTGACACGGAGCAATTCCCTGAGCATGACATTGTGGATGTGCTACAGAATGTCAAGTAGGTAACCAGCGCAGCGCTGTGGACAGTCGCTGGTTTTTGCTCTGTGGACATGCTTCCCTCAGTCCGGTCTGTGTTTGCGAAAGTCTGCAATGCTGGCCAAGAGCTTCTCACGTGGTGCAAGCCCAACGTGACAAATCCCGGTGGCCCCAGGCTTGTCAGCGCGACGGAGTTCTGCGTGTTGGGGTACTACAATGTGACGGGGCACCGTGAGATGGCTCATTATAACTTTTCCCCGACCGATCCATGCCACAATTTTCAGCTTTTTGATATAGTCACGCGCAAGTTTGTGCACCTGAGTGACAACTTGGTGTTGTGTTTGTACCAAAAGCCGTACACTCTGTATTCCTGGTTGGTCAGGAAGTTCTCATCTCTCGACGCCACGGTTTTGGACGGCTTCTCTGACTCAGGTACGGGGGCCATTGCCTGCGTTTTGGCAGACAGGAATTGCCTTGTTGTGGAACTAGACAAACGCTATGCACAGGGAATCTGGATGAGACTCCTCACCGACATCGAGGAGACATTAAGAAGAGAAAAGTCGAGAGAGGGAAAGGGCAAGGGGAAGGAACACCAGCAGGATGCGGACATTGAGGTCTCCGGGGACGACGAACCGGTGACACACGAAAAGACCACTGAGAATCAGGAGTCGGTTCCTGGTTGTTTAGCACCGGGACAGTCTACAGTGGAGGCCAGTGTCAGCAGAGAGGCAACAACAGTTGCCCAACAGCAGGGGACGGATGTGGCGCTGCCTGCAGATCAGCAGCAAAGGGCGAATGTACCTTCTACGGCAGAAAAAGTTATGGCCGCTGCCGTTCAGCATGGCGTAAAGAGGGAGGATCTCGGCGCAGCGTGGAAGAGGCGCAAACTGCCAGCGCTGCAGGACGAGCGTGAAAAAGGCGAACTTTCTCATCAGCCGGCAGTCACTGTCGAGACTGGTGAAGTTACGAGATTGTCTGCGGATCCTGAGAGGGAAGACGTCACACAGAGCCAGGATTCCAGCAGAGCCACAGACAATACTCGTGGTTGTAAAAGAAAGATGGGTGGAGAGGAGGTAGTTAGCTCCCAGGGTGGCGTCGTGGTAGGTCTACGCAGCCGCGCACGTTGACTTGCCTAGGTACAGGTCTCTAAACTCTTGTAAGGGCCGGATAATTCTATAACAACTTTTCGTTATAATATTATATATCGTCTGCGCTTTTGCAATTATTTTCAGATCTGTACCTTAGTAGATGTCCTAGCTTTGTCAGTGTGCACATGTCGTTCGGTTGCATTCCGGCAAGAGCCGAGGTAGACCTTGCCAGTAAGTGGCGGTCATGAGCAACCATTCACCCTCAAGAGATTAGATTCTCTTGGAAGGAAAGGKCGAGCACTGTGCACACTTTGTTTCATTTCTYAGGGGGSAGCTAAAAGTTTTGGCATTTGCATATTCCCCTCGTCACTGGTTTGCTAGCTGTCGCTTTTGCCTTGCTTTGAACGCCACCATCCACTACTCTTGCTGTTCAAGTTTTGTCTTCGTTCCTTGCTTTTCTTAATCGTGTGTCCTCTGTTGGTGCTGCTTTTGTGGTTTCTCCGCTGCTGGTAGTGTTTACGTTTTGYCTCTGCTGTTGTATTATAGTCCTATATCGTTTTAAGTCCAGAAACATCGTTGGTTGTTAAAGTCCTACATCGCTGCTGCCATTTCTACTGCTGCTGTGATATAGTTCTATAACTATCGACGCTGTGATATAGTTCTATAATTACCACCACTGCTGCGCTGTAGTCCAAGATCCGTTTTTGTTGCTTTGTTCCCTTGTTTGCACTACTGCTGCTGTAAATTGCTATTTTCACGGCTGTTGTTGTTGCTGCTGTTGCTGTTGCTTCTAATGTTGCTGCTAATCTCATTTTCTTGGCTGCTGTCTAGTGGGCTTTTATCTACTGCTGGCACTGCTGCTGTCGGTAAGCCCATTTCATGTGGTCTTTCATCTGCTGCTGTCGCTAAGCCATGCTCTCGTGATTTTGCTGCTGCCGCAGCTTGGTTGTTCGTGTCACTGGTTTGTTCTTGCCGCCATGCTGATGCTGGGGACATGGAAGTAGCGACTGGTTCGTTACTTCCATCAGTTTATAATAGCTTTTCAGTGAGTTGTTTTGACCAAAAGTGTTTACTTCACGGTCGACAGTAGTTCGTTTTCCTTTCCATAAACTACGATCGGGCCTTTTCTTTGATTCCGCTTTGGTTTTTCGATGTTCGTCTGTTGGTCAAAATAGTTATATTTCCGATTCTTGCCTCTTTCTGTTTTGAGATGCCACTTTTTTGCAGGTAGTGAGATATTTGACAGACACTTCTCAGTCGCCTCTTTTTGGCAGAACTGTACATTGTTTCTGGTGCACATCACACTTTGCAGTACGAGACACTTTCAGTTTTAAGCCATTTTTGCGAGTTGTATTGGGTGTCCTTTTTTTTTTTTTTTTTTAATTATTATTATTATTTTTTTTTTTTACAAGCCAAATAAGAGCAATACAATGAACTCAAATGTCAGTGTTAGCCTCTTCTCGCCACTATCAACAATGTATCCATTGTTGCCCTTCTTGATTGGCGCTCAACGCCTAACACACCACTTCTCAGAACTTATGCTAGCCTACACTACGAGATGCAACCAGGATCAGAGAGCACTGCTAACGGCGGATGCATGACATTGGAGGCAACATGGATAATCAAGCGTCAATTGCCAGTACAACTACCTTTAAGCACATACATGCCATTGTCTAATTTTGACATACTCTATTGGTCCACCTTTGAGAGAAGGCCTTGGAAGTTGGAAGCCAAAATAGCTAGCTTGGCAGATCGCGACCCCGTCAAGCTTGCTTTGTACACAACGATGATTCCGGTCGTTTGCAATGGTTAGATCACATCAGTGACATCAGTGTTAAAAGTATTAGAGAGATGATTGGGGTACGTAAGTTCCAGACAAGAGATCAACCATGGCACAACATCCGTCATATTCAAAAGAAGACTTGAGAACTATCCCAATACTACCTGCACACTATTCATAGGAGAATCTCCTCCACAATGAATGTCAGTGAGTCCTTCTTCATCCCCTAGCCCCCTCTATCGTGGTTCGCCCCCCATCCCCTTAGAAAAATTACTACCCGCACGGGGCACTGAGTGGATTATCCAGGTACCTGTGGCTGAGGTCCTTTTCGGGAGTCCGGTGAGAGGCTGGGATGGCAAGTAGCTTAGGTCCTTCTTCCGTCCCACATCCAACTCTTACAAGGTGGCATCGTTACCCTTATGAGTATACCCTAGCCTAATCTACACAAAAAAAAAACATTCGTCCTAACATTCGGATTTCAAAAGGATCACCGTTCGTCTGCAAATATACGAAACAACCTGGCGAGCTAGCTGAGGAAGAACAATAACAGAGAATTACACAGACAGAGCACGACTCAACAGCACGATCAACCATGCACTCATTCAAAATTTGCACTCCACACAACCATCCATCTACTAGGGCATCGCCGTCTTAGGCGCTTAAGCTGCCCACCATTGTTCATTTTTCCATTACCTCCGACCGCTCCACTTCTCTGTCAGATCTGCTTAAACCCTAAACCCCACGGAAACCCACAAGTCTCTTTTTTGCCTAAAGTCTCGCTTATCCTTCCTTAATCATCTTGGAAGTTAAAACCGTATGTCTAGCCTTCTGTTATTGCTATCATATCTGCTTTTTTTAAGTATCTCTACCCTGACCTACCCAGAAGCAGTATATTTATGGGGCGTGGCTAAGTCACTCTGGACCAAAATTACAGACTCTCCTTTGAATTCCCTGAGAGCGAGGAGACGCTGTTGATAGGAAATGACCCTTCTTTGGTGGGGCCACACTACCAGAAGCGCGCATTCCAATTAATAAGGCAATACGTACTATGGACGATATGGAAGCACAGGTGCGAGCAGGTCATCGACAACAAGCAAATGCACAGGCAAGAAGCGAAGGAGACATTCTACAACCTAATGGAAACAGACATTCGGACGCAATGGAAGGGAATTCGCAAGCAGGTCCAGCAAAACCCAATGCAAGCCAAAGAGTTAACGGATAACTTTCAAAAGAAGGTCTTACTCCAAGGAAACATAGCAACGCTAACTGGGTGTCCTTTTTGTAATCGTTACAAAGACTAAAGGTCTTACTCTAAAGAAACATAGCAACGCTAACTGGGTGTCCTTTTTGTAATCGTTACAAAGACTACTTTGTGTTTCACTTCTGTTTGAGATTCTGCTACCTTCAGAGCTAAAAGTTTACTTGAGCTTCGAACATGACGAGTTTCTTATGTCGGGTTGTCAAAGTTTAGTTGGRCTTCAACCATATCCTCTCAAAATTTTGGATTGTTGGGTTTTCAAAATTTCGACCCCCAACGGGAAATGCTGTGGTTCATCCTGATTTGCATGTGCTCGTTTCCTTCTACAAATATATTTTACTTCACAGACCTGCTGCCCATGTTTGGTCTTCCTCCTCTTGCTCTCGTGGAATGCAAAAATCCCGTCTTGAACATGCCTTGCGGCTTGCGCCAATGTTTCTTTCAGGGGTTGGCTTTCTGGGACAAGTGAGGGGACTCTAAGCTGGGCCTTTGTGGGCCTTGGCATGTTGCTCCCTGTGGATAGAGTACTATATCGGAGCACCTGCAATAAAGTGTTATATCCACTACTGCTGATTTGCGTGCTACCATTGTCATTTCTGGTATGCTCATCTGTTCTCTTGGCGTGTGCTGCAACACCTGTGGTTTCAGGGCTTTTCCCGCAGTGGACACATCGTAGCACCTGTGTTTTTTTTTTTTTTTTTTTTTTTTTTAAAGCAAATAGCATGCTTCATTATATTTAGAACAAAGGAGGCCGAGAATCCCTCCACATCTCAACCCGGAAGACTAGGGCCATTACCCAGATTAGGGTCATGCTGGAAACCGAGTCCAGTGTCCCTTCCTCCTATCAAGGCCCTTCCTCCTATCAAGCTACATGTTATTCCTGAACAAAAACCGAACAGGATTAACAAAAGACAAATAGAAATAAAGGAAAGAACCTTCCAACCAATCCCTAGGTTGCGCTTGGGAGCCGAGAGAACTGACTGTCCTACCCCTAGGTTGCACTTAAGAAGTGATAGGGCTGATTCAGAAGTGAGATATGGAAGAACTGAAACCCGTGCAGAGTGTCCCGACACGCTACTCCCTAAACCTACCTCTATTTTCCTCTGCCTAACTTCTCCCTCCCCTCTCTCTTTCAATCTAACCTCGCCTTAAACCCTGACCTGTCTTACCTGTGCTTTAAAATACCTCTGCAAAACCCGACCCTTGTTGTTTCCTGTTCGATACGTCTATCTTTGAAAGCAATGGAAGCAGGTGTTGCTATCTTCCCTCAAAGCAATACCCTCTTTTGAAAATTCTCCATTAGGTTCTTGGCTTGCATTGGGTTTTGTTGGGCCCGCTTGGGGGTTCCCTTCCTTGCGCCTGAATGTCTGTCTCCGCTAGATTGTAGAATGTCTCCTTCGCTTCTCGCCTGCGCATTTGCTTGTTTCCGATGGCCTGCGGGCATCTGCGCTTCCATATTCTCCACAATACGTATTACCTTAAAAGTTGGAATATGCACTTTCGGTAGTGAGGCCATGCAGTAGGCGGTCCACTTCCTATCAGAAGCGTCTCCTCACCCTCGGGGAAGGGGGAGTCTGTGATTTTAGCCCAGAGCGTCTTGGTCATGTCCCACAGGTATACTGCTTTTGGGCAACAAAGGAGACAGTGACATAAGGTCTCTGGTACTCCTTCTGTACATTGTGTGCAATGTTGAATGGTGGGATCACGGTGGTGTTGACTGCGACGCTCAAGAAGCCACGAGTTGACCGAGTATGCGACGTGGAGGATCAACCAGTGCAAGCTCCTGACTTTACTTGGGAGGATCTGATGCAGGGAGGACCATGGCAATTTTGCCACTTTCTCATTTGGTTTCTGCATTTTCTTCTCCCATCTAAGTGCCAAGGGTTCGGCTAATGGAGATGAGCGCTTCCTGAGTCTGTAACCTAGCTTGGTTGTGTAGTGGAGTATGTTAGTTCTTCTTGTTGTGCCTAGTGAGGCCCCCCTGAGATTCCAGACCCACTCAGCTGGGTCGATCTCCAAATTCTGAATATCTGTTGTTGGACCAAATATCGTGAACTCCTTCATC